CCCTAACCTATACTATGAGTGACAGTGTTTTTTTTTTTTTTTTCACAAACTACACCTGTAGCTTTGCTCTAGTCATCTCTCATTCTAGGTATGATTTAAGAGAACTAACCAGAATCATTCCTGCTTCCTGACAATGTCTAATCCCAAGCAAAGTCCTGCTTCCTTGAAACTTCCTCATGATTCATTTATATTAGCTCAAGTCCAAAAAATCCTTTTATCAAGATACCACACAGGTGCCCATTGTGTATGCTGAATTTGGTAGCAATGTATAAGATACTCTCATTCTAGGTATGATTTAAGAGAACTAACCAGAATCATTCCTGCTTCCTGACAATGTCTAATCCCAAGCAAAGTCCTGCTTCCTTGAAACTTCCTCATGATTCATTTATATTAGCTCAAGTCCAAAAAATCCTTTTATCAAGATACCACACAGGTGCCCATTGTGTATGCTGAATTTGGTAGCAATGTATAAGATACTCAACTTGGTCAATCACAGGTATGTTTTAAGTGGTCCTTACACAGAGGAGATTGACACTGAAGATACTTGGCCCTAGACCGAGCCATCTCCATCACCCCCAACCTGTCATAGTGAAACAGCACCAGTCCAAGATCCAAGACATATTGAACAATTTAACACCATCAGAAAGAACATAAGAACAACACAAGGAGCATCTAAAATCTAAACCATTTCAACATTTTGGTGACTAAAAACTCATAGAAAAACATTTCTGACATCTCTCTTCTTAGTATCTTAGCAAAATTTTCTCTTTACAATTATTACAGTAATATTCAGTAAAAATAAGTGGTCAAATTTGAACAGAGGTTATATGAGATTTGAGAAAGTCTATGCAATTTCATTTTTTTCTAATTATTTTGCATTTTTTCTAATTATTATGCAAGTTGTTATCATAGAAAAAGTCCTGAAATGTAAATTGGGCAATGACATGGCAATTTACTTTTCCTACTGCTGACTGGCAAAAGGCTACTTAAATGATTTAGAGACTCAGATTCCTTCCATCTTTTGACTCCATCATCTTTAATATGTCACTTCCTGGTGTTCCCATAAAACAGTCAAAGTCATAGAAGACAATGTATGAATGTTTTAAGGGCTGGGCCTTAAGTGCCGCAATAATATCTTCCCCATTGCCTATTAACCCAGACTCAGGTTCATGAATATACCTTACTACAAGGGAACCTGGAAAATAAAGTTTAGTTTAAGGCCCAGGTTCGTGAAGAAGTAGTACATCCAGGCCAGTTTCACTGTAGATGTTAAGGAGGTAAATAACCTTATCTTGAAATGCAGGACAGCAAACGCTCTGGCTTTACACTTCTGCTTATCTTGGCACATTACTGCCTACATGACCAAGAGACCAAAACTTCAGGATGACTCATGAGCACTTAACGAGACAGCTTCAAAGTAGCAGCTTTTCAAACTTTCTTCTTTCCCTGCCTGTTGTATGGAAAATTACACTAGCCCTGGTCTCACAGACAATTTTGATTAAATTGTAAGTTTTGTTTGATGCTCACCCTGGGTGGGTGGTGGTTTTGTAACAGGGAATCCAGTGGAACAAAATAAACAGAGGACAACTCAAAAGAATTGTGTGGATTTAGAATTACACATTAACATCCACTCTTCCCTGAGTACTATAGACGGCTGTGGCCCATCACAGCCTGATTATACGCACATGTTCTTCTACTGACCAGTTCAAACAAGGCTGTTTGGACCACTGATAAGGTCATGGCTATAGTCTAATTGGGCAGCGATACAAATTCTGCAGGAGAATATAAACATCATGGGCTTTTTTGTGCTTTTTTTCAGACTAATATTTCAACAGATCTGGGAAAACTTAACCATCTATAATCTCATTCTTCCACAAATTAACAGCACTGTCTGCAGCATTCCTTTGTGTATAAACCACAACCCTGATTTAAAGAGGTGTTACTGCAGGTATCCCTGGAAACGCCTGTCTGGGGTGTGTGTGACAGCAGAGACTGACGTGTTCTGTAAAAACAGTCATCCCTGTCTTTACTCTTTTGCCCTAGCATCAGATGTGGTCATCAGATCCACTTATGTCCTAACCCAAAGGCAACATGGAGCCCAGCAGGGACATGGCTTCTCACAAAAAACTTGTTGGCTTTCAAAACAAAACATGTATTTACAATCAAAGTAGAGACAGCTCTCTTTGGGTTTCATTTTCCTCAAGATGGACACTGGCCAATTTCACTGAGCTGTGAGGGTGTGAAACACTGCCAGAGGATCCTCCCATATATAAATACCTTGCTTATCTGAGAAGCACTAGAACTTCATGAACAGAATTTGGAAGTGCCTCTCAGCCTGAATCAAAGTATTATGGAGCAGCTGCAGTCTCCCAGCAACATGAGGTAAAGGCTTTGTCTGTGTTGTCAACCTTATTTCTATGCACTTTGAAATTCTAAAACTTAAAGAAGTACCAGCTCTCAAACAGGGAGCCAGTCTACTCATGGTTCTGATGTTGAGAGGTCCCCTCAGCCTGGTGAGTGAGGACCACCAGGGCTTTAGATGGGAAGCTAACAGCAGTGGTAACACGACAACTCCTAGGCCTACAGGGGCCATTCACTGCTGATGGAAAGGCCACCACGTTGGAAGCTCAGGAATGAGCACCAGGGCCTTCACCTTACCTTGCATCCTAATTTCTGAGTGGTGCCACCAAGTGCTAAAAAGAAAGTGAAAAATCAAAGAGATGCAGTATAAAAAGTCCATGGGGTCAACTTTCCCATGTGCAGGGAGCTGAAGGATGGATGGAAGTGGTCAGATGGGAAGATGAGAATAAATGCACAGAGAAGAGTTTCCTGACGCTAGAGCCTGCTTGGTGAAGGCAGCTGGCTTAGTTACAGCAGCGCTGCTCTCGGGGTGAATAGAAATACCTCTTCATTCTAACAGAGGTGCCATTCTGTAGCACTTTTTACTGAAGTGACAATTTCCCAAGGGATACTTACAGGCTGCCCAATACAGTGGCCTGGACCTGCTGGAAGGTTGGCAAGTGTATGGTCAGAACGAAGGGTTCACCTGCTTCCAGATGAGTAGGGAAAGAGGGAAGCAGCTTTTTTTTTTTTTTTTGGTCTTTTTGAGACAGGGTCTCCCTGTGGCCCCAGCTGTCCTGGAACTCACTATGTAGACCAGGCTGGCCTTGAACTCACAGAGATCCGCCTGCCTCTGCCTCCCGAGTACTGGTATTAAAGGTGTGCACCACCACACCTGGCTTAGGAAGCAGCTTTTTATTTGATAATTTGATTAAATTCTGGTGAGAAGTTATCTTTTAAATTTTTAATTAATTTTGGTGTATTTTTTTACAGAAAATCATCTTTATGCTGCCTTCCCCTTTGGCACCCTCCCATATACCCCCCCACTGGAGTTATACATTCTGTATTTGTGTTAAGGCCTATAATGTAAAGTTAGTGTCCCCAGATATCCTTCATTACAAGTTCATCCACTGGGATCTAGTCAGCCTATCTAGAGTCCCTCCCTTTAAGAAGATCAGCTCATTTTCACCCAGCAATAATCATCTGCCAATAATTCTTTGACTAAGATTGGGGCCTGTTGTCCATTTCCACAGTTCTGTGCTGGCTTTTTGTCTGCTTCAGTTTGCGTGGGTCTTGTGCATGCTGACACCATTGCTGTAGGTTTGTGTGAGAAGGGTCCCAGGCTCCTGTAGGACTATTTCCATATAATCATGTACCTCCTCCTTGGTTCTTACAATCTTTCCACTTCCTCTTCCGAAATGGTCCCTGAGCCCTGGGTGGGTGGATTTTAATATAGGAGTCCTGTCCAAGAGCCCACACTCTGCAGATTCTTATTCTCTGCATTTTGGCCATTTGTGACCTTTTGTTTTCCTGGCCCTCTGTTGCATGAGGGAGCTTCATTGATGAGAACTGAAAGATGCATTAGTGTTCTCTTCATCCCTTGTTCTATGCTCCACGAGCTTTAGGTGTAGAAATTGCATCCTAGATGTGCCACTTAGGCTTGGGCAATTCACAGACAATCTCTGTGTGTGACCAGTTGTAGAACTCTGTAAGTATCGCTGTCTTTTGAAAAAGAAGTTCCTTTGGTGGGTGGTGACTGGGATACTTGTCTATAAATTTGAGGATGCATATTTTGCACATAGCAAGAAATTACATTTGTCTAGGGATGTGACAGTCTTGAGGTTTTCTCTAAGATCTATGACCTCACCAGCTATGTGTATTTGGCTAGGTTTACAGTACCACACATGAGTTTCCTTCCATTGAGTGGGTTTTAAGTTCAACTAGGTGGCTATTGATTATCCCCAAGATAAAAGTGCCACTACTGCCCCAATATAGTTTGCTGTGCTGGTCATTGATGTGGTTTTTAGGCCTTGAAACTGGGGTTGGACCATCAATTGTTGTTCTTTCTTAGCAGCTTGGGTAGTGCTCTCCAAATCTATGAGAGCTAGCCTTCAGAAAAGGTGGCTTCCAGGTCAGTTGCTACAAATCCTGTATCTAAAGTATGTCTGTCTTCAGCAATAGGATCTTACCATCAAGTTCTGGGAGGCAATCAAGGACTGAGGCAATAGCCTGTGTAATTTTGGGAGTCTCTTAGACTACCCTGGCCAACAACTCAAAAGGTTTCCCCTGTATGCCACTGTTTCTTGTTATGTAGCCTTAGGCTATATACATGGACTCATGTAGAGGTATTGTATGTATAATTTTTCAGTAATTTTTTAGACTAATACAATTCCCTCTGTTTTTTTTATACTAGCTAGGCACTATTTATCTCTCCTCTTTCTATCCCTGTCTTATCCTCCCTCCCTGCCCTCCCCATTTAAAGTGTCCTCATTTTTTTAGGTAGATACTGTTGTTTCTCCTATTGCTATCAGATCAGAGGTTTGGTTTGTTTTTTTTTTTAATTATATTTATTTATGTGTATGTGTCTACGTGAGTTTATGTCCATCACATGCATACAGGTTCCTGCTGAGGCCAAAGGGCATTGGAACCCCCGGAGGTGGAGCTTCGGGCCATTGTGAACTAATCTTGTGAACTAAGATTGCTTAGTTCAAAAAATTAGTTTTTTGACAAATCAGCTCTGCTCAGAGTGTGATTATGTGACTGTCAGTGGCAGCATCTGCCGGATACTGACTGGGAATGTAAATTCCCAGGCTTTACCCCAGAACTGCTGACTCAGAAACTGTGGCTCAGAAAACTGAATATTTTGACACTTCCAGTGCTAAGATTTGAAAAGCCACTCACTAGACCAGATATTCGAAAATTACATGTCTTAGGAGTGTGGTGTTCTCATCCTAGAAAATACATACACTTTTCTTTCCTGGTTTGGTTAAACCTAGCAAACCATAGAAAATATTTTCCACTCAATCTGAGCCTTTCTGGTGTTGTAGTTCGTGGGAGAAAAAGAACTGACAATGAAATGGGCCCTTTACCAACATCTCTTCTTTAGCAAATGTCTGTGCCTGGCCTGAGAAGTGTGGAGGAAGCAGAAAGTGTTTTATAGTGTCAAGGTTTCTGCTAAAATTATATTGATATTAACAGAATAAATTATTTTGAGTGAACTTCAGAATTTATGGAACCAAGGAAGTAGTATTTCCTCAAAGTTTGTGTGGAAAACTACTGTCAGTTATAAGATAGGATTGAATACATGCACAGAGAGAGTGAATACTGGTGGCAAGGGTGCTGGTAGGAAGGGTATCTGGTCATGTAGAATACTGGTTTGATTTCCAGGACACAGGATGTGTAAAAAGTATCAGTAACTGAGGTCTGTTTTTACAGTGAAGCGTCTCATAGAAATCTCCTACATGACAGCCTGGCTCAGCTGGCATGTCACTTTACGTGGAAGCTGGTTATAGAAGACATAGACATACCTGATTTGGAAAGCAGGATCTTGCAGAGTAACTTCCTTAACACCAGCTTCAATGTGGGAATGCACAACCTCATGGCCTACGTGAAACACCTGACAGGCCAGCATGAAAAAGCCCTGCAGAGCTTGAACAAAGCCAAAGACTTAATCCAGAGACAGCATGCCAACCGGAGGGACAAGAGAAGCCTGGTGACCTGGGGCAACTATGCCTGGGTGCATTTCCACATGGGTAGGTTAGATGAAGCCCAGATCTACCTGGACAAGGTGGAAAACACTTGCAGGGAGCTTGCAAGCCCCTTCCGCTTTAGGATAGATGGTCCTGAGATGGACTTTGAGGAAGGACGGGCCTTGCTGAAGTGTGGAAGATGGAATTATAAGCGAGCCATGGCCTGCTTTGCAAAGGCCTTGCAAACCGAGCCTGAAAACCCTGAATTCAGCACTGGCTACGCCATCGCAGCCTATCACCAAGACTATGATTTTAATAATGTGATTTCTCTCCAACCCTTAAGGAAGGCCGTCAGGTTAAATCCAGAAGATGCTTATATTAAAGTTCTCCTTGCTCTAAAACTTCAGGATGTAGGAGAAGAAGCTGAAGCAGAAACGTACATTGTAGAAGCTCTTACCAGCGCATCCTCCCAGCCCTATGTCTTTCGCTATGCAGCCAAATTTTACCGAAGGAAAGGCTTTGTGGACAGAGCGATTCAACTCTTAGAAACGGCCTTGAAGGAAACACCTTCCTCTGCCTTCCTGCATCACCAAATTGGGCTTTGCTACAAGGCACAAATGATCCAAATAAAGGAAGCTGCAAACATGCAGCCTAGAGGGCAGGATAGAGAAAAAGTGGAGGAACTGGTCCAATCGGCTATACATTACTTTCAAAAGACTTTAGAGTTAAGGCCAACATTTGACATGGCTTATGTTAATCTGGCTGAAATGTATATAGAAATTGGCCATTTCCAAAATGCAGAGAGCAACTTTCACAAAGTGTTAAGCATGAGAAACCCCGATGATCATGTCCGGCAAGAGATCCATTTCCGCTATGGCCGATTCCAACAATTTCACAGGAAATTAGAAGACGAAGCAATCACCCATTATTTGAAAGGTTTAAAAATAGAAGTAGCATCGTATTCCAAAGAAAGGCTTCTCAAGGCTTTGGAGAAGTTGGCTGTAAGACGTGTTCGCCAGAATCTACATGTTGTGGAAAGCACCTGCCTCCTTGGGTTTGTCTACAAATTGAAAGGGGACATGGATGAGGCCCTGCTGTGCTATGAGAGGGCTCTGAGGCACACTTGTGAAATAAACCCTGAGTTTTGAAATACAGATCACCATTGGCATTTTAAAGGTATCCATGACTTAATAGCCTACTAATCTTTAGTTGTTGCTTTCAAAAATGAATAACCTGATAAAACAAACAACAAAAAACCTGGATGTGATGCCTTCTCTGTGCTCTATCTGTTCCCCAGCTTGTCTTTCTTCTTGGATCTGTCTCTATGACAGGAGGCTCCATTCTTTGGCCATACATTCCTGTACTCATTTACCATGCCTGACTCCCATGGTTTGGGGCAACTGTCACTTGCTGGACCAACAAGATCCATTTTCCTTATGACTGTGCCTTTGGAAAGAATGACTTAAATCCTCAGTCTGATGGTGCTCGGATCAAAGGAAACGTCAAGGAAGGTTTCTTCTTCATGCAGCCAGAATCCTTGACCTTTAGCAACATCTGAGAGCAAAAGAAATGAGCAAAGATGAGCATCAAAAAGGAGAGAAATTCAGGAGTTTTGCAGTATTCCTGGGGAGAGTTTCATTCTCCCAGGCCCCATGGTAGCTATGACCTGCTAACCAATGAGCTCAGCCATATAATCAATGTCACCTTTTATATACAAGTGTATGACTGTTGACAATCGTGGTAGATGTATGTGGTTCAAATACATTGCTTGACATTTATTCATAGCTAAAAAGACTTTCAGTGTATTTAGGAAACAAAGTAATAACCTCCTTGTACTCTGCAAACTAAAAATGGCATAAATAACTTCATGACATTGCTTAGATTATTAAGAGTTGTGTGATACAAGCTTGCTGTTTTTCCAACCCCGTAGCATTCAGTAAAATCTGCTCAGATCTCAAAATTATCAGAGTATTTTGTTTGTGTTCTTTAAAAAAAAGATCTGTATTCTACGTTTGTGTGGAATACTGCAGAACCAACTTATGTAACATTAAGACAGATGAGGTAAAGGAGGCCCTGAAAATGCAAACAATGCGAAGTCTTAAAAAATACACCGAATGGTTTTATTCCTAATATATATAGAACTAGAAGACTGAGTTATGGCACTTTGATTGTGAGAACTGCGATTAGCCTGGTGGAGACTAGGGTAGGAATGCACTGGGTCAAGCGAAGCCATTTCCAAATTTGTTAATGCTAAACGATGAACAGATTTATTAAATTCAAGCAGAGGAACTACTAGCATGGGAATGCTGTCCTTTATATTTTTTTTAAAAAGGTACAATTCTTAGGTTTCCCAGTTTTTCTTGAATTCTTTATGACTGTCATAGTCACTTGTGAGAGATTTGCCTTTACTTATGGAGTAATCTAAGTGAGAAATTAGAGGACATGTTTATACTCACTATTAAATACACACAATGTCTTTCTAAATGTAGAACTAGCCAGCTTATGAGTTGGCTCATTTCTATAGTCAGTACTTAAACATATAACTACTATTCCTTAACTACTGGATCATCTTGGCAAGAACAAATAATAGAGAATTTATAATCCTTTTGGCTAAATTCATCACAGATATGATAAAGTTACTTGGCTAGTTGGTAATTGGGTTATTTGAACAAAACTAACTCTTTCATCAACAGAAAAACATGTCCACCTGATATGTAGCAATTTTCTCAGAACTGAGACATTCCTCAGAGGCAGTGGGGAGAAGGGAGACTTTCTCTTGCCTGTTCCTCTAAACTTTGCCAAATTACCCTGAAAGCTGATTCTAAACACTTTTGAATCACATTTGTTAGGTATAGTCACAGGTCAAGTGTAGAATCTTACCTCTTACTAACAATTTTCTGGGTTGGTCAGCTTTCTGTTGCTGTGACAAAGTACTTGAGATAGCTTTCAGAGGAGAAAAGGGGCGCTTTAATTTATGTTGTCAGAGATTTTTAGCTTGAGGAGTCACTTGGCCCCTTGCTTTAGACCCGTGATGAAGGAGTGCATCACAGTGGTGGGAGGATGTGGTACAGGAGGCCTGTTCACCTCTTGGCTTCATGGTTTTTTATCCTTCTCCCTTCCATTCTCCTTCTCAACACAGCTGCTGAGATTTATATCTTGCCTGCCCTGAGGTTTTTTTCTTTAAATTTGAGTAAAATCGTCCTAAACATCAGTTTGAGTCCATTCTTAAGTCCTCAAGCCCTGAAGATAACAGCACATTCCACAGCCCTGAGGACAGCACCCACCAATGAGGCCTCCAAGACAATAACCAATCAATTAAAAAGTATATTGGCACGCGGCCTCTTTGGACCAATCAAAGTATAACTCTGTCATTCCCCTCCTCCCTTTGTCTGAAACCTATGAAAAGCTCCTTCCCCCTGCAATCGGGGCTCTCAGATGAACCTACCACTTTAGCTTGGTCTGAGAGTCCGAGCTTAAGCCAGAATAAAGACTCTTTGTTCTTGCATGCTCTCTGGACTCTGTGGTAATTCTTGGGGACCTGTTCTCTGGGCACAACAATTAATAAATGGAATCTGCTGCAGGAAAGGGCTGCTTTTCTGTAGATAGGTACATTATATCCACAAGTAAGATAAAAAGGGCTGGGAGCAGTCAGCAATATGTCACTGAAATGATGTTTTCCAGAAGAGTTTATTTATATGTCTGAAAAGCATGTGGAGATGGGACACTGGTTGCAAATATAATCCTTGACAATAGGATTTGGGGATATTTGTGGGGAAAAGAAGCAGAGTGATCCAAAGCATGAGTGAAGATGAGTGGGGGCAAGAAAAAAATGATTCGTGCATCTGTTTCAAACTGCTTGGCTCATGTTGACACCCATATTCGGAAAACGGCACCTTTAGCAGGATCTGATGTTGGAGCTTTCTGTCCTGTGACATCAAAAGTTGCTTTTGAACAGGGCCAAATGAATAGCTGCTGGTTTGAGGCGCTTTGAGATAGATAAAAGCAGCCTTCAGCTCCCTAAAAAGCACTTTACTCTTATGTGTTACCATCATAGTCCACATATTAGAGGTATTAGCTACAGAAAATCTAAAGACAATGTACTATATAGCTACACAACTTTGGAAAATAGAAATAAACCAAGAAAATAAAAACAGTGAAATTAGTTTATTCACAGTTTCCCTGGATTTCAAAGTTAGGGAAGCCCAGGTAAGCTTCTTGAGAAAAGTCTGATTATAGCCAGGTATAGTGGCACATGCCTTTAATCCCAGCACTTGGGAAGCAGAGGCAGGTGGATCTCTGAGATCAAGGGGAGCCCAGGTCTACATAGTGAATTCCAGGCCAGCTGGGGCGGGAGGAAGACCCTGTGTCAAAAAGACAAAAGAAAAAAGAAAGAAAGGAAAAACAGCCCGAGTTCCTGGGAAAAGATAGTGGTGCATTCAGTTAAACACACCAACTTAGTCATTAGCAATATACCAAAGTGAACGGTGAGGAAACATGGCTTCCTTTCTTGTCTTGGCTGTTTTGTGATTTCTCTTTAACAAACAAAATCCATCAATTAGAAATTAGAAATGATAGACTGTTAGTCAAATTCACTGCTGGGAGGCACATGTGGCATCCAATCCCCTCCTCCCATGGTCCTTGAGACAACCTGAGAAAAGAATTCTCCAAACCCCAGTTTGAAGAATCCTAACAAGTTTATTGGACTTGCTAACTGAGCTTGGGGTGTGGGTTTACTTACAGAAGAGCGGGTGCCCCCTCCATTCATGGCTGTGTTTGAAAGTCCACACCCAAACATAAATCCTGTGGTTCCAGACAGCCTCACAAAATGGCAGGAGACCTGCCTCATGGTTCTCCCAGCTTTTAGGCCTTTAGCCCCTCCCCTACAAACAGCTATGGTCAACCAATTGGCTGGAAGAAGGAAGGGGAGTGACTCCTTTGCAGAGCATGGGAAGGAGGCGAGTCCACAGCTCATCATCACAGGATCAGAGGAACATCTGGGTCACACAGACACATTTTTCTATTAGAAGTACAGCAAACCTTTCCTTCAAGGCTACTGCTCAGGCATTGAGAACCAGCTCATGTCTGGCTAGCTCTGTAGCTCCTGAGCTACTTTAAACAAGTGCCTGGAATTCATCAGAATCTCTAGAGAGTAGTCTGAGACATTCCTGTTGTTCAAAGGCTTTTCAGATGATTTCAGTGAGCATTGAAAACTATTTTCTAGGAGGGCTGGAGAGATGGCTCAGCAGTTAAGAGCACTGACTGCTCTTGCAGAGGACCTGGGTTCGATTCCCAGCACTCATATGGTGGCTACAAACCATCTTTAACTCCAGTTCCAGGAGAATCTGAAACTCTCTTCTGACTTCTGTGGCATTGCACGACATGGGTGCACTCACATATATGCAGGCAATACACTCAACCCATAAAATAAAAATAATAAATATTTTTTTTTAAAAAGAAAATTTCTAGATCACTACTTCTCAAATTTTTTTGTGTGTTACCTGTTGGGCTTGTTATGACATGCATCACTGGGTCCTGTCCTCGGAGCTTCTGATGCAGGAGACTAGGATTAGGTTCTCAGAAATGTCATTCCTGCTGCTCCAAGAACCACACTTTACGAACCAGATGCTCCAGTTCTACATTTTTTCAGGTATGTGAATGGACTCCTTTGGAAGCTCTAAGATGTTGTGCCCTGACATCTCATGTCTAACATTTACCTAATTCTTTGATAAGTTATTTGTAGTACATGGCAAAGAAATAGACACGATTTCTCCCTTTCATGTACACATGGTCTCTTACTTTGTGACTTTCCACTTTCCCTATCAGGTTTTGCAGTTTGTTTTTCTGTTCCTTTCAATCTAAGCTCTTGACTTGCATTTTTTAAATATGGCAGAAGTGACTTTGTGTAAGTTTGGTGGAGCACAGGTTACCAGGGCCTTTCAGGTGTTCCTTCTTCTCTTTCTCTTGTTGACCAGAGTATCATATGTATCATGTAAGGAAGACAAGCTTGCATTCTTTGGAAGAGAGGCCTTATGGGGAGAAAATCCTGGCAAACACCTCAGCCACCAGACAGGTGAGATGATTGTAGAGCATCTAGACAAAGTCAAGTCATCACTAACAGGTGTCATCACATAAGAGACTCCAAGATAGGGCTGAGGAGATGGCTTAGTGGGTAAAGTGCTTGCTGTATAACCTGAGGACCTGAGTTTAGATCCCCAGCACTCACATAAAAAGGCATGGTGGTGTGCTTCTATAATACCAGTAATGGAGGCCAGAGACATGTGGATCCCAGGGGCTCCCTGGCCAGCCAGTCTAACCCTAACTGTGAGTTCCAGTTTAGAGGAAGTCAAGACGTGTATCTCTGGCCTCCACATGTGCAGTGTACCTGCATATGCACATGCACACAAATATACACTACATATAGCATTTTATTAGAATTATTAAGTAAATGATGATAGGTATACTTGACAAAGGAATCCTGGGATACTGGGTAAATGTATTAAGCTATTTCCCCTTACATTAACCTCTTATTTTAAGTTTTTAAAAAATGATTGAGTTTGCAATTAAAAATTGTGTGTATTTTTGCTCTAGCAAGATGTTTTAATATGTGTATGAGCTGTGGAATGGCTGTGTCAATCCATTAACATGAACACTTTGGATACCTGTTTCTTGTGACAAGAACACTTAAAATCTATTTCAATAATTTTCAAGTATGTAGTATATTAACAGTAGCCATCTTCATGTACTCAATTATCATCTTTCTATAACTAAAAAAATCATTTTGGGGATAGGGTCTCACTGTGCTGTTCAAGCTGGCCTGGAAGATGCATGGAACCCTAGGCTGACCTCCAACTTTCGCTCCTCCTGCCTTTGCCTTCAAAGTGCTCAGATTATGGGAGTGTACTCTCACTCCTGGTTAATTATCTTTTGGCAAATCTCAAAATCTCTAGAAGACTCAAGTCTTTGAACCTGGAAATGATCCAAGGTATATGTATTTTGTTTATGACACCAGAAGGCTGCTTTATGTGGGGTTTTGGCATGGTTCTAAATTCAAACTCCAGGGAGACAGATCCATTTATGGA